AATGATCTATAGCACGTTGTAATACAATATTAATATTTTCAGGATTTCTGGCAACGCGGCTAGCAATAAAAACATCCATAGTACTGTATCCGAACAACTTAAAAAGAACTTTGCCAAGTCGAAATGGAAGGTTGGTATCGCCGGTTGATTAGTACGCTATTAATGGTCTATGTGTCTTTGCTCACCAAAAATGTTCCTTTCTTGTATCATGACTGCAGCAAGCGTACCACGCAGCCACGGTCATACGTCAGATGCAACGGCTGGCGCTAAACAGCGGTCAGCAACAGCAGCAACAGCAGCAGCAGCAGCAAGAGGGTACAGGCTCCAGCGGCAACCCTACGCAATCTTCAGAGCACGCGCAGGTCAGCTGCAACCAGCACACGGGACCGCTGGGACCGCCACCCTCGAGCAATCTCAGCAATTGAAGCAGACACGCGAGTCCGTGCTCACCGTGTCAAGCCTGATGTTTACGAATCTCACTTCTCACTCCATTCCAATCACTCCCGCCAACTGTACTCGCCGCCGCTATACATGTGCAACAAACGCTTCAAGCTGTGGGACAGATAACGCACCGCTCTGTCCACTCTCTTTCAGGACAATGTGTCGCAACTTGGAAAGCAACGGAAGCATAAGAAGAGCTGAGCCTAAGCACCACTAGAGTCACGTGCGCGCACGCGAAGGGCAACGTACCATGCGACATAGCCGTCGTTTTCAAGCTACAAGAGCGAGGGGGATAGATTAGAGCCAATTTGCTTCGCGCCAGTGACGCGTACACATACACGTAAACATATATACATGTACACGCAGAAACACAGTTACCATCGAAAGGCGTAAACTACAATTCGCTTTGGCTGGTCCATGCGAAACAATTTGGACTTGTACCTTCTTCTATAGCAGTGTGACAGTTACATTTGCAGGCTTCATTCTTATGATTTACGACGTTTCCTATGTTACACATGCATGAGCAATAGCTTGTAGCAGTTTGCAGAATACTTTTCGCATCGATCTGATAACAGGATTAAGAGGCGGTTACATCTCTAGAGATAAGACTTAAAGAACGTGTGCCGCGATCATGGCTGCGCACTTTGTTAGATCGAATCCGTTCTATATATACATATATATAATAAAGTATATATAGATATATACATATAAATATATGCATTACGCGAACAGTACAACGACAGGTTTTTATATTTTATAAAATTCGGTGTAATAAGTAGCAGCGCGGCTATTTGATACAATTCTGTGCAGCATAGAGACCCAGGTACCGTTAGACACGGATGAATATGATTCCATGTTACGGTTCCTATGTAATTCGATCCTCGCAAGCTGTAACATACACCTTGGTACGATATAGAATATTCCCTATCTACTTACAGAAGTCGAGTTGGACTTTTCAGTTAGTAATCCGCAAAAAGTTACTATCAAAACGTAGACGATATCGAGAGGTCGCTTAATGCACAGAGACGTAGCCTGATCTGTTTTTTTCTCTCTTTTTTCTCTCTCTCTCTCTCTGTCTCTCTCTGTCTGTCTTTTATCTTATTTTATTGACGCATGTTTCTGTATTTTTTTTGATAGCTGAGACATGCCCCCGCTTATGTAAATGCTTACACAGCAGACACTTGTGTACACGGTGCTATTTTACTGCACAAAATGTATCCTGTATGTATATTTCTCTCTTTTAACATATACGTAGTGATATTATATTAATATAAGACCCTGAATGGGATCTGCTAAGCTAGCTTGACACTTGAAAACATATATATGTACATTATTCTGCTAACATTAATATATACAGCACTACTATACTTTTATTTCTACAAAATGTAAGATGTACATAATGCACAAATTCGCATCTAAACTTACATAGACTATCTTGCGTGCCTGATTTTAAGATATAGACATGAGGAATAATTCTGTAAAGTTACTATTGCAACGCGATCTTAATTATTTTCATATATGCGTAAAGGTATTCCATTGCTGTTACACTTTATGTCTCGATTTAACGGTTATGATATTTCGTATCACGGGCTGATGTATATTTTATATATATACTTAATTTTTTACAGTTTTTTATTAAGAAAAATACTATACGTAAAGAAAAAGTAATATTATTTTTTAAACATCGGTGTGTGTGCCATATACATGGTTACTGTACGATAGAGGCACGCTAGACAGACAATGGAGAACTGAGCTAATTAATTTTACGCTTGTATCGTTTTATCTTTAAGACGCAAGAAGGAAATCGGCTCGAAAGTGCAATTTATTCCTAGCACCGATTTATACACAGCGCGAGTATTTGTCCTCGTTAATATATGAGTCAATGAGAGATGAAAGAAAATGTTACTTAATGATCGACTTGTTTGTTATTATTTTCACGTGACGTCAGCAGAAATGCAGTAAAAAATTTGCACTTTTTACGATGATAATTTTACCTTATCAAGACTGGTAAAACAGAAGATTGATTTGTTTGTATTCGTACGAAATATAAATATGTACAGTTGTTGATCGAGTTCGGACGAGAGTTTCGTGCCTTTACATCGTTATCGAAGTGAATGCACCAAGGTCATTAAAAATCCAGGCCTTAATCAAAATATATTTTGAACGCGTGTCCCGTTGTGGAAATGCGTGCGATTGCTGGAATGAATATTATAATTAAATTTGATAAACTGATGCCGAGGCACGCAACTGAACAATGTAAAACTACTGTTTAATCGCGAAACTAAGTTATCTTTTGCGAGACATATCCACGAGTAAATTCAGAGACCGACTAGCGATTTCTGTGTTTTATAGTCAGCTGAAAGTAGACATTCTTGTGGCTCTCGTTGAAAGGTCCGAGCACCGAAAAGATAAAAATGAAAAAAAAGAAAAAAGAACGCTACGTGCACTTTACCGAGCAGGCATCTCTGTTGTTACAGTGTATTCTCTCTTTCTCTTCGAATTAAACTATATAATAATCTCTCGGCATTATCATGTTAGGCATCCGTCCGTACAGCGGGCACTTCTCGATGTAAGAGTATAATATAGAGAATTATAGAGAGAGAAGAGCATGTGTGCGACCGATGCGATAATCACCTTGGGGATGCGTTGGAGAACATCGGTCTGTATAGTGGAGTCTCGTCTATTCGAAAGATCCTGGTTTTGACTTTAAAATAGCTTTTTTTTGCGAAGGAAAAGAATCGGAACGCCGATTAAAAAAGTTCGAGATTAGACCTCGTACTTTTTACTTTGGTGTCAGAGTCTCGTGTTCTCGATCGCAGCCCTAAAACAACTCCAATAACGACGGACACTACTTCATGGCCGTAGAATAAGTTTACTGGTAACGCGATAAAGCACATAAGTAAATGACGTTCACGATTACCGCTAATGATTACCGTTAATTATACGCTTCTCCAAGTACCTCGGGTATGGTTAATTCACTGAATATTATTGGTGTCTTTCATTGTATAAATTGACTTCTGAAGTGCCTTGGATGACATGATGATGGTACATTACCATACGTGCCATTAGTAGAAACTTTCGTAGGTGCTTATCACTGAACGTGTTCGAATATCCGTTATGTTGCGCGAGACAAGTTTCTTTGATTAGGACTCGTAGATTTTTCAGGTGCTCAAGTCGACGTACTTGTAAGAGATCTACGTACAGCGATCCACGATGCAAATTAGCTAGTGTGTGTATGTGTGCGCGAAGGATTGAAAATTATCGCGCGCACGCCGTACGTATTTTTCTCATCGGTACGATGTTTCGATAGATAATATATATTATTTTGACCGTGCAGTTGTAGTTCGAGTAAACACACACTCCTTGCGTTCTTTCGATTCCAGTGCTAAAGTGCTTCGCATGTAATCAACATCATGTCATCTAATAAGAGAGATTCGCTAGGAAACATTCGTTTTTCGTTAATAAGACGCGCGCGTTGTGATGGCTCTGCGATGAAAATTCTAAAGAAAAGTAGAAAAAAATGAAAAAAAAAAAAAGAAAAGAAAACGGGAGATTCAGAGACGGAGCTTTAGCTTGTATTCAAAGTACCGTGCCACGTGAACAAACACATATCGGCAGGAATACTGTAAATGTGATGTAAAGATAAGCTGATTCTAAGTATAGCGACGAGAACGAATTGTTAGTGAAATCTCATCTATAGGAAACAAAAAATATGTAAAGGCCAATCTGACTGCTGTGTGCATAGAGAGCGAGAAAGAGAACGATAGAAGTAGCGTGATGATGCAGGACGATGTTGAAGGTCCCCCTCGAGGTTCTCTTCAGCCGGATCCTTTGACATCGGTGTGCGTATATTATTACCGAGATATTTCGAATATTATCTAGAAGGCGAGCGTCGCACCTCGTGCTTGTAACGCGCGGTGCGTTAAGGGGATGCTGGAGCCGTCTGTTTTACCGGCATTTTTTGTCGGCACGTAGCGTCGTATTAATTTGACAGAATTAAAAATCCTTCTCCAGAATTGCAGTACATACATTAATGATTCGGGGAAACTCCGATTTTATATAGAAAACGAGAAAAAATTACGGAAGTACAGATTTCCTTATCCTACTCTTATCCCAATATGGCGTCTCGAGTTGCGGCGAGCTGTCAGCTCGTCACAAGATGTATTTCATATAAGAGATATACCATTGGTACGAACGCGAAAACAAGTTTCCCCGAATTGCACAACAAGAAAAACATCGATAAACCCCCCAAATCAAGATTTGGAAGCGTAATATAAAAGTATAATGTCGGTGCGCATCGTGCGTATGTGTGCGTGCAATGTAGCGTGCTATCCTTGTCTATATCTTTGTCTATACAAGGACAGATATAGTTCGCCGGTCTTTTTTACTGACGCCGATCGAGTTCGGCTACGGCTCCAGCATCCCCTTAACGCCCGACACACACTAATATCTTTTTACTCATCTACTGTATTTTTCTCATTGTACGTACAAGGCTTGCGATCGTTACGCTAGGAAACGCAAACACACATCGGGAATTTATTCGGCGCTCGTCACCCGGAGGAGACGACGTTTGCCATCTTATTATCGCAAAGTAAAGTTACAAAGTGCAGAAGAAACTCTCTATACTGTAATAAATATGATACGCGAGACGATTCGCGCGAGTGACCGTTGCCACCGCGCGCTCGACGCCGTAAAGAGAATAATCAGAATAAAGATAAAATAGTTTACAATGTGCCAATGTTTAAAATGTCCTTTCGGTGATGTTGGACGCGACGACAGCTTATTATCTCTTCGTTACGCTCGATTCGGCGATATTACGCATCTCACTGTCCTATCGGGCTCTGCGACCCCTGAAAGCTTAACTGTGTAATATAGCTCATGTTCTTTACATATTGCGGCCTACGTCTGAGAGAGCGTGTATTTGAGAAAATGAGAGATACACAGGGGAGAGAGTAAATCCTATTTTATATGTTACCTGAAATGCTGCTCTTTTTTGAAAATGTACATTTTCCGTTAAACGAAAATCCACGCCGACGGAGGTCGGAAGCTATATTCTTTTCGGGAAGAAGAATGATTGGCCTTACGAAAGATTAACGATCGATATACATATTTTGAGAGGTAGAATCTCAAGTACTACAGCGAACGGCGCATTAAATGTGCGACTTGATTTTGTTTATTTGACCTCATTTAATTGACGATTATATGCGTGATCATGCGGTTGCACAAAGCAGGGCGCTATTTTTTGTACGAGTTGCTTATATAAATTAGAAAAGGGAAAGAATGTCGCATGTGTGTGCAATATACACGTCCAAGTACTTTAGAAAGACTGCTATTTCTACCATCAATGACGTGGGGGACAGTAGGTACGAATGGATCTGTTGATTCCTCTTTATACGAATTGTCTTTCACACGCGTGTATACTCGCCATTAGCAAGCACAATAATTTCTTTTTTCTTTCGATGACGATCAAAGTCTTTGAATATCATTCGTTGACTTTTATTTGTACAGATATAATATACCGCGTTAATCACATTTAAGAGCGTCAAGTTCCACGCTGATACACCAAGAAATATTTTGTTAATGAAATTGAATTCAATTTAAGAAGGCGTGGCAATGATAGGAAGCGGTACGAACATTGTTTATAATGGTAGTTAATTGAGAATGTGATAAAATAATAAATGATATTTAATTCTTGACTCAACAGCCATTTATTACACAACTCCTTTCCAAAAGAGGATGCTGTTATTTTTCTTCGCTGATATCGTTTATAAAAATTGATATTTGGTGCCTATGTTTATACATATACATATAAGCTCTGTTATTTGTACATTTTATTTAAATGCGATAACAAGAATGTTACGTGTCTTATGCTTCGTTATTTTTCTCTATACGTGTATTTCTTACAAAAAAAATGTAGAGTTTCATGTCATTCACGATCACACAAATAATAATACGTTTCGTTAAACGTACATATAAAACGGCTGCCTTTAATAGCAAGAACACCCTATATTAGCAAGATAATTTATCTTTCGCTTCTCATTCACATGCGACAAACAATTTAATTCTTACCGCAACAGAATGAATACGTGCGGAGAGAAATTTCAAGTATGATATAAACATTAAAATCTTACAAAGCAGAATTTCATAATGCATCATATATGATATATATTTAGCTGCTCATTAAACACGTCTGATTTTTTCACATTACGACGAAAATATTCCGCGTAGCGCGATTACTTTTACACAATTACTTGTTTGATTTTTATTATTTTATTTAAAAATAATCACACGCGTGCGCTAGTACAGAATATCGCGAGCAATCTTGCGATGCTGCAATTCCTCAACTACTTCATATGGAGAGCCGATGGACAAAACACAATCCGATGATCAACTTTTAACGTCGCACACAGCACGGATACGAATATTTATAATTATTAAGTATTATTATATGCATAACAATTCACGTTGCAATGATACATGATTAAATTTCGTGATTGAACTTTATACTAAAGTCGAGACTTTTTGTGGACCTTGTAAAATTCGAGTCGGTATAACACACGATAATATTCCGGTGATTCGATATCACACCCCTTCATTAAGAATCCATCGTGAGAAATTATTCGGATAGAATCGAAATTTTGCGAAAGGCGAACCAACTAATTTCGGAGATCGATTATCGAGATGCAGTAAACATTAAAATTAATATCAACGTAAAATATATTATTACAATTTTTTATCAATATTAATGATATATCAATGATCATCGCGTGATTTACGTCAATTCCAGCCATATACCGAATCTTAACGCGATCACTTGACAAATATTTGATCGGTTGTACACAGCCTATTCAACTCTGACTGTGGTGATTCAAATAAACTGTGTATCTGATATACACATTTAACTGAAATTTTACGCATTTTATCCGTTATGATATCTTTTTGTCAACACTAATATCTGGGCCTTAGAGCGACCGGATTATGTTACTTAGGCAGATCGTGGCAATTACGAGTATCATTCGTCGAACGCGTTTAACGCCTCCCGCAGTTTATCGACTATTTTCTGATAGAAGGCGATCTGTTCCGTGAGATGCGTCCTTACGGCCTTATTTATATGCACTTCCCGTTCCGTCTGGAAATGAGTCTCCTCGGCGATCAGTGCGCGAGCTATCACGTCAGTTCGATGGGAGAGCTCGCGTAATTGCTGTGGCTCCATTTTATGCTCACTGACCAGTCGCTCGCAATCTCTTCGTTTTTGCATGGCGCTCTGCAAAAGAACAAGAAACACGAACGCATTGAAAATTAATTTGTTTAGATAACGTTACGTACGTCACGCCGCGACACCGCGACACCGCGAAATACCTTATGAATGCTGGTGACGTCGGGAAAACTGCTAATAATACCGCGATAAATGTGAAACTTATCAGATAACGGTTCCCAATCGAACTTTGGCTGTTCCTCAAACAGCCTGCCGATATCGTTGTAAGCGTCGCCGGTTGCCTTCAACGCGCGCGTCAACCTCCCGCGACCGTTGTCATCCGCCTCCAGAGCGTGGCTGAGCGACGCGAACGATTGACCGATCTTTTGGAATTCCCTTTTATACAGAACCTGGTGTTTCTTCGCTTGATCGACCGCCATGGCCATGAAGTTCTTCACCACCGGATCCAGACCGCTGATAAATCTAACGAAGGCATCGGTCTGGATCTCCATTTTTATGACGTCCAGTGGCGTGTCCGGACACTGAATGGCATTGAAGTAATTCACGCCCAGCAGCTCGTCCTTCTCCGCCTGTCGTTTCCCTGCCTTCCATCGCTTCTCGTCCGTGCAGGTGATAAAGTGCTCCCAGACACGACTGCGCGACAGAACGGGATGTCGACACACGTAGTCCACAAACTCCTGCAGTTGCGTACGTCGATGCTCGATAAACGCGTCCTCGTAGCGCCCGGATATCTGCTTATCGGGCAGAGGCGGGATCGGGACGAAGCAATACTTTTCCTCTAAGCGTTCGTGCAGCCAATCGAAATGCTTGTACCTTCTCGAGACTTGTATATTATTGAACTGCAATGTACGTATGTATTATGTTAATATTCGAGATAGATATTCAATCAACACAGACGAGAAAAAGAAAATGTAACACGTTCTGTTTACCGTAGGAGTCAATTGATAGACAATGAAACTCTTGAGACCCTTCAGCTTAGATTCCTTCTTGGGCGACGTGACGACGCACGTGTAGGACTCCCCAGTCGGCAGCCACGTGCACCGACCGCCCTCTCCTTCCTCTATAAAGATCTTTTCGCTCTCAGGCACAGTCACCATTCTGACGCCCAGCAGGAAACTATCTTCTCCCGACTTGATCAGCGTGGAAAACTTGTTGTTTTTCTTTGGTACGTTGGGTATAGGTCTCTCTGGTATCACAGAATGTATAGTATGCATCGACACTTGATCGCCGTAGTCGCCAGCGTTATTCTGCTGCGACAGTGGCACAGGCTGTGGCTGCTGCTGCTGCGTGGGCGGAACGTAAGCCTGCGTCTGTCCAACTTCGGAATCGTCGTCCCAGTCATCGTCCCAATAATCTCCCGAGCTTTGTTGGGACGATGTCATAGTATCTATACACACATACATACATATATATAACATAAAGCACGTCACGTATACAGATATCGACATTACATAATTTTCCAAAAGCAAGCTTATCTTTTATCAGATAATCATATTAACATACGGCGAAAATAGATAGTGTAGCATTGGATATCACGTTCAAAATGTATACGTAAATTCTCCTAAATAAAATAAACAACCGCACGTACTGGAGGGCGGCGCGGCTTGGTCGACCACTTGGACGTACGCCGCCGGGAACAGTCCCGATTGTCCGGTCTGATTAAATCCCTCACACCAGCCATCTCCCACGTTGTCTCGTATGACAGTCAGAAGCTCGCCGGCGGTGATCGACAGCTCCGCCGTGCCCGACTCGCCCGTGAAGTCGTACAGCGCTCTCACCTGCGAAGAGAAAAAGCGAGAGGAGTAGAAGCGGACAAAGAGTCGTCTCGTGCTAACAACAGAGTGAGTCATAGCGAGAACGGAGTTGACCGAACTCGGTAAACGTGGCTCGCTCGCTCTCTCTCTCTCTCTCTCCCTCGCGAGGCTTCTCCCCGCGCGTACCTGGTGGTTCTCCATCGTGCGGGATTCGCGCGCGCGTGGCCCGGACCCGGACGCGTCCCGGTCGCCGAGAGAGATATTCAAACACCGCCGAGATGCTGCGCCCGGTCACATTCCCACTCCTCGCCACCCGCCGTCACGAGCCGTTTGACATTTGCGCGCTCGCACCTCGCCTGCACCTTCGCTCGCGTATACCCGGCGTACACCCGCGTGCGCCGCGAGCGACGAGCTGGGGATGACTGTACCACCGAGAGTCAACCGAGAGTGACAGCGCCTGACAGCAGTGACAGCCCGCCGCCGCCGCCGCCTCTTAATTGCACCACCTACATATCCCCTTCCTTCGTCCGACCGTCCTCGCGCCTCGCGCGAATCTCGCACTCGCAATTTTATCTCTTTCCGTTTCCTCCCGACGGAGCTACGGATCCGTCGTATCCGTTTCTTGATTGCGTTTACCCGGTTCACCGCCGTTCACCGCGGTTCCCCTCGCTCCTTTGTCTCTTTTCAAAACGTGAAATGAAATCACCCGACTGGAAATATCTATTTCATTTCGAGTATCTATACGTTATTTCGTGGATACGGAAAGGTGTAGCAAAAAGGGCGGCCGAGTTATCACGCGCTCGCGTTCACCATCGTCGACACTGTCGACAGGAGCGGGGGACCGATCGTGCCGGAGGCAGATCGCAGCTGATCGAACATGACGATGACCGCGGATGACGGCACGATCGACAACTCGGTGATTTGTCGCGCGCGAACGCGAGCGAGGGCAAGCGAAGGTTAGAGAAATCGAGAACCGGCCACCGCGCGGATCCGCCTGTAGTGCTCGGCTGCAAAGTGCAAACAGCCGCAAACACGGACCAAAAACCTTTCGAAACTTTTGGCCAAGATTATACAACGAAACGACGCAGCCACGCGAATAACGAGAGTTTACGAGAGGCGGAAGATGGGCCATGGGCCGCGATGGAAAATACTTGGCTGCCAAAAAGTCCCTAGGATTCCAGGAAATTCCCTAGCCAGTCGTCAATTATTATGGGTGGGTTGCAGTGAGATTTCGCCAGATGGCACGCGACCTCGAGTCAACGTTGCGGGGTTATGTTTCCGGCGTGGCGTGACATAACCTGTCATATTTAAATGCCGTCGTAGCTTAGCCCTAAATTTCGTATAATGATGTCGTGACCGAGATCTCTACGGAGGTTTGACATGAGTTCCCAACAAATACTCCAGCTTCCTCACAGACTCAGGGGAGCCTTTAAGCTGCTCACGTCCAGGTTTAATGAAGTTGGCATTAAAATTAGGAGCTACGAGATGCCCGAGAGGATCAAAGGCACCTTACTTGAACGCTGGAGTAAATAACAAATGCGATCGACGTATCACGTTCTAATTGTTGGAATAATGTGTAATACTTTTTCTGTTTTGCAGCGAAATATTGGCACGGTCTGTATGTGGATTATAAGGATGTCGCGATTGACGTAGCCAAAGATTGCAGAGAACGTCCTGTACGTGCCGTAATATATAGTACACGTGCGTATCATTTTTTCAATATTATATAATATCTATATTATATTTATATGAAAATAATTTGTACTATAGTTCTAGGAGGCTGCTTCTACTCTAATCGACACAATCCAGACGAGACTATGTTCAGGGAGCACGTGATACAGAGCAGTATAAAGCTGATGCAGGTGGGAGAACCTATACGCAATCCTGTCTCTGTGCAGCACATAAAATGGTTGGAGCAATGCTACAACGAGGGATTAATCAGGAGGCTCAATTTGGGCATTCTGTCTCTGATTTGGTTGGACAATTATGACAAAGACTGTTCCTTGTACAAGGCTGTCTGTCCTTACCTAAAACCACGATACGTAACCTTCCACGAAAGGATAGTGGATGTAGGCTTTCTAGACGAGTGGTGGCTATTGGAAGAAAAGATGAAAGACTATGACGTAAACGAGGCCGAATTTAGCGTTGCGGAAGCTGTGAACACGGCAGGCACTGTTTCAGCAGCGTAACAAATTTTAAGAAAGGATCCTCTTGTATTGTTTATAGTATGTAAAAAATATAAATTTTAAAAGTTTTCGAAAAACGAGTACATATATTCGTAAATTATCAATTAGGATACAAAATATTCTATATAAACTTGTGAATACATAGGCGCACGTAATTGTTAGAGTTGAATAAATCGAGAGACTATAATTAAACCGTGACTTGATCTTTTCTGTTTACAGAATATATTATGTTTATACAAATTTTATAGAAAAACATTTCACCAAAGTTTGTCTAAAATATATTACACGTTAATGACTTGCGAGTGTAAAACAACAAGATCTGAGAAAACGCACAAGTTTTATGCATCCAGCATTTACTGTCATTATTCTGTAATAGAGAAGTCTAGAGATATACAGTTGTGATTCACAAAAGGTTTTTTTTTCAGCATTTACCACGATATATCTCTAGATTCTCAGATATATATGTATATAGATATTTTATCGACGTATATTTTACAAAAATATGATCTCTGCACTTGACTAATTATCTATATTAGGTACATCTATCATTATACACGTTTCGAATAGTCTTCAGTCACGCGAGACAGCAGTTAGCGATCTAAAATGTAATCAGTTTTATTAATATTACGTGCCGCGAATAATAGCAATACGAAATATATCATATCAATACGTTACCAGTTTGTGCGTAAACTAACGCTGTACGGCGCGGAATGTAGATCATCATTTTGTGTTGATACGCAGAAAACGGTTCTGGTTGCGTAAAATGCTGTATGCTCGTGTCTACGCGACGTTCTCCTCCAAACTGTTCGTCGTCGCTACACAGAACGACCTTGTACGTTCCTGGGTTCTTTATACCGATCGGATAATCGGCGAACGACTTGACCGGATGAAAGTTAAAGACGAACACGACGTCAGCACGGTCGAACACGATCACTTTATCATCTTCGTGCTTCCAGCTCACGTAGCCCTATAAAATCAAGAGTTTATCTTACGCATTTAAAATTCCTTTAATCCTTTATTGCGTCGAGAGCAAATAAAATCACTCGGATAATAACGAAAACAAAAACTTTGAAAGCTACTTACAGGCGTGGCGTGCAACCATCCGTACTTGTCTTCGAGCGTATTCACAGCGCGATCCCACGTGTTCATATATTTATACTTGAGCATTTCGTCGTCCACTAAACTCCACTGACGTCTGGCATAATGGTAGCTATCTGAATTTCCGACCCTCGGAAAGTCCAGCCATTCGGGATGACCGAATTCATTGCCTGTAAAACGTACGTTCATGGAGTATCTCTGTGTGCGTACCGTTACATTTTTTCTCATAACGTGGTCATGTATTTCGAGGTACCGATCGTTGAGCAAAAGATTAATCCAAAAATTATTTATTTACTCGTTGCTCACCCATAAAGTTTAGATAAGCTTCGCCGCCCAGAGCATGCGTGATAAGTGTGATTAGATTGTGGAGGGCGATGCCACGAGAGATTATATCGCTGTGTGGACTGATCGTGCTCATGTGCGTATACATTTCCTTATCCATGAGCCAGAAAGCAATCGTCTTATCGCCTACGAGGGCCTGGTCGTGAGATTCGGAATAAGCGACCGCTTTCTCCATCCATCTTCGATTGGAGAGTGTGTGGCAAATGTCGCCGACCTTCCAGTCGTCATCTTTGACCTCTTTTAACAACTTGATCCACTTGTCGGGAATAGCCATGGCTAATCGGTAATCAAATCCCACACCACCTTCGGCGACGGGCCTTGAATATTTTATAAAATATATTAAAATAAATATTTTCAGCTGCTTTGATTTACGAAGGTTGATATATGTAGGTCTCACCTGCAAACGCCTGGCATTCCACTAACATCTTCGGCTATTGTGACGATTTCAGGATATATTTCGTGCAACATATGATTAGCGAGCATCAAATACACTATGCCCTCCACATCAACGTTCAACCCGAAATATTCGTCGTAATGACCACTGAAACCTTGTCCCAAGCCTCTCGAGTGATAAAGCATCGATGTGACGCCATCAAATCTGCCGAATACGATGGAATTTCGATACAAATTATATCTGTTTTATATTATATATGATATGAAAGTCGTAAACTTTTCTAATACACGTAGAGATGTGTTCTTATACAACGTAAGTACCTGAATCCATCAAAACCATATTCCTCGGTGTACCAACGTAGGTTGGACAGTAGGAATCGAAGTACTTCGTATTCTGCGTAATTGAAAAGTCTGCTGTCCCACAGCGAATGCTCGCCGCGAGGACCACTATGGAAGAAACACGCATCCGTACCATCAAACATATTCAGTCCGTCCAATGTGTTCTTGGAAGCGTGCGAATGTACCACGTCCAACAAAACGTAAAGACCGTGCTGATGCGCTACATCCACTAGCTCTTTTAACTCTTCTGGATTTCCATAGCGAGATGAGGCCGCGTAGAAAGAAGTCACCTGGTGATTTCAACAAGAAATATAGAGCTGAGCATTATATGCAATCATACATATAATCGTTTTACACGTTATTAGGTAAATAGGTGCGCAACCTGATATCCAAAACTGGCATAGTAGGCGTGCTCCATGATCGCCATTACTTGTATCGCGTTGTATCCTTGCCTTACAGTCCGTGGTATCACATCCCTGGCAAATTCCAAGTAGGTGCCGACACGAGGTTCCTGCGTACCAATTCCAACGTGGCATTCGTAAATCCTGAGACTGTCTGGTTTCTTTGGTTTGGGGTGCTTGAACTTGTAGGTCTAGAAAAGAAACATGGTAAATCTCTTTGTCACGTGCTAGAGGCATTTCTAATGGTACATGTCCAATACATTTTCTGGATGCCATATTCGTTGTTTGTAGGTAAGCCCTTCAGCTTTATTCTGCGTTACATACGTCGCCCAAGGGCTTAATCTTTCAAGCAGTTCGTTATTATGATTTTTGATGATGAGCTTCACTTCAGAGTTGTGCTTCAGAGGGCAACTGCCATCTGCGTTCGGAGGAAGATTCAACTCCCACTTGCCGTATTCCAACTTTTTATACGGCGTAGCAGTTCTTTGCCAATTATCTATACAACGAAACAGTTGTTCCAAGATAATTTTAGTTTAATATTAATCATGTCATTACAGTTGTGTGTGTGTGTGTGTGTGTGTGTAAGAAAAAATAACACATACTGAATTCTCCAGTTAGAAATACCTCCTGCGCACCGGGTGCCCATTCTTTCGCAACGACACTGTTGTCATCTTTGATATGAATACCGAAGCTCTCGTACGCAGTAGTAAATCGTTTCAGGTCCCCATCTCCCTCCTGTATCTTCTCGACGTAATCCAAGAACAGAGCATACCTGGAAAGGCGAGGGTAACTGTGGTTACCGGAGCATTCTCAACGAGTTATCGGCACTTGCACATAAAATCGCTATAAATAAAAAAGTACCTTCGTCGAATGTCAGTCTCGTACTGGTTCAGGTACGGGTCCCTCTCGAGGAGCGCTTTTATCTCCGGTACCTCGACCTGCGAGGGATCCATGCTGGACCACTTGCCACCCATGTTTCTATTGTGACGACGTACGTACGATTAACGAGATCAGCGGCGTGATCGCGGCTGGCGGCATGGACCGGCTAAAATTCGAATGTCACGTCAATGTCACACTGCCCCCTCTCCCTCTCTGCCCTCGACGTCAGTGGGTCATACGCACCTACCAAGTGGAACGGAGCCTCGGCCACATGGCACTATGGCAGCCGGAGCCAGATTCGACGGAAGTAAAAAGGAAAAAAAAACAATAAAAAAGAAAAGAGTCAGGCGGCCGCGTTTACGTAATTACGAATGATTACGAACGTCGCGAGAGCGACGAGCTCCGCTGTTTTGACCCGCGCGCGGCGCGCGCCCACCGCGGCGACCTTTGACACCGCCATGTTTATTCCATTCCCGCCATTCCCGCTGCGGTGTTTAAGTATTCTATTCTAGAGGCCTATTTACGAGCGAAGCCGATCGTAAATAATGCAAATATTGTAATTGCAAATGAGTGCATGACGAAACATCGAAGCTGCGACGCTGAAGATCATACGGGCGATCTTGCCACGTGGGAGTTTATCTCGTCGCGTGCCGAAGATAAGGTAAGGTAATCTCCCGTTTTATCATTCTTATTGGAGAGAGAGAGAGAGAGAGAGAAAGAGAGAAGGGACGATCGTGTTATTGGAGTAATCATGGCGATGATGAGGTATCACCTATCACCACGGGTCCGTCCTTCGCAACTGCACTTTCTGCGTTTAAAATGAGATAGATATATGCAATTAGACGACGGAGAGAAAAGGAGGGAAAACGTATGTATGTAATACATACAGGCCTGTTCTTTTTGCACGATTCATCTTTCCTCTTTTTCTTTTCTCGTGGAGAGAAAAAGAGAAAAGATAAACTGTGCAAGAAGTTCAGCTAAAAAGAACAGGCCTACACACACGCGTTACGTATGTACAGAACCTCGATCACCTCCAGGGAGCAATTGGCCGCGTTCAGCAAACACAACTGTTGAGTTTCGTCTTATCAACGCTCTGCGTTGATTGGTTGGTTCTAAAAGTAAGAGCCAATCACGTTCGACTGCTACTGAGCGGCTTGGTCTGCTGAACGCGCCCATTTAAGTTCTGACCGCTCGCCAAATGGCGGACATTTCAAACAAGGAACAACCGTGCAACGGAGTTTGTGATTTCTTACTTTTTTGTGTATATATATATATATATATATATATATATATATATATATATATACACAATAAAAAGTAAGATACGAGTGGCGCTGGTGTTCCAAAAACGGTACCCTCGCTGCTGGTGACAGGTGGCTGAACAAAATTACGCGATGCATATAAGGTTAGAATTTTACTACATTCTACCATGGTAGAAGAACACAGGTGTGCTCATACTCGTGACGAATTTCATACGGTTCTGCGCAGATGCCAGATGCAGCTATTTTTAAGTGGCAGTTTCAAAACGTTTAAAGTTGTACCAAGTGACTTTGTGACATATCATGGGTAAAAAAGTGACGCATATAAAAGGAAGAAAACAAGAAAAATGAGAAAAATTACTAACATTAAAAATAAGTACGCATTACATGTATATGTTTTTATATACTTTGTAATTATATCATATACATATGCAATATTAATCTCATATATTTTTCAAACTGATTTATTCTTCAACGATTGTTCTTCTTATATATAAATTAAACACAAAAATAAATAAGTAAAAACATAAAAATAAATAAGTAAGGCTGCGGTCCACTTTACGCTACAAATACTTTGGAGCGTTCTTCTTCTCCTTCTTTTTTCATTGAAAGAAAATAGAAAAGGAATGCTTCGAAGCATTTGTAGCGTCAAGTGAACCGCAGCCTCGCACAAGACTCTCGTATGATAGCGTAGCGTAACTTATAAACGTGGATCAACGCAAAAGAAACGTATCGGTTAGAGCCTCCGCACAAAACTTTCCTATGGTAACGTAACGTAGATCAACGTACAAGAAACGTATTGACGTATAACGCTGTAACCGATACGTTTCTTGTGCGTTGATCCACGTTTCGTTACACTACGTTACCACACGAAAGTCTTGTGCGGAGGCTCTGACATTAATGACATAACGCCAAATTCAAACTGTACAGCGGCAAGATGGAGGTATCTGGCATCAATTTCTTATTGGCTGTTAGAAATATATGCGCATGAGCACACCTGTGTTCTTCCACCATGCATTCTACATTGAAGTCACTGAGAAAAAAATCAATTACATGTGCTATCACGGGGTGCCAAAAACATAAGTAGTTAATTCAATTGTATTATTATTAGACCCAAATATCCGGATTATTAAACCAATAACTTAATTATTATTAGATCCAATTATAAAAATAAATAATTTAATTATTGCTTTAATAAATCCAGATATATTGGATCTAATAATAATACAATTGAATAAACTATACTTATGTGTTTGGCACCCCGTGATAGCACTTTAATTGAAGCAACAGTTTTGCACCCCGGCACAAAACAAGATATTTCAATACTTTTCACTTTCAATAAATTATACGAATTATACGGATATTACGTAAATCTGATGTCTTATGGCTGATGGCAGAGAACGAGGAATAAAACGTAAACGTTTCAACGCACTAAAAAAATTTTTATATAAAAACATATCTAAACATATATAATCATATAATATTATATAATATATTATATAAAATATGTCTATATATGTCCATACTATGTTTCTTTTTCTTTCGTATAATCTCTGTTCGTATGTATGTACAAGACAAATAATAAGAAAAAGAATTAGAAAATAATTAAAAGGATAATTTTTGCATTTTTTTTCAAAAAAATGAAGTCTGCAAATGTGAAAAATTTGTTTATATATAATCATATATAATCATATTTTATATACATTATTACATTTATATATGATTATATATAGGCAAAAAATGGACAATGCAAAAATTATTCTTTTAATTATTTTCTAATTTTTTTTCTTATTATTTTTCTTGTACATACAAACAGAGATTATACAAAAGAAAAAAAACATATATATAGACATATTTTATATAATATTTTATATAATATTATATAATTATATATATATTTAGATATTGTTTTATAGAAAAAATTTTTTACCGTGACGTGTCGGCACGTACTGTCGTCGCCAAGTTGACACTTGAACATTGAAACGGATCGTCACGTGACCCACCGATGATGGAACACAAGCGCTGCGAGTGTGCAAAATCATGCAAACGTGTTGCTGAACCAATTTATGTATTTATTGTTGCCACAAACATTGCGTAAACATGAATCATAAATTCACACTTATAATGCTTTTACAGCAAAGATATGTAAATTATTGCTACAAACTGTTTGCAGCAATAATATGTAAATTATTTCCATTAATAATTTATAAAGTGTACACCAATGGAATTTCTGGGCATAAACTAAACATTGCTGGAAAAATGTGACAAATATTGAATAAACCGTTGCTTGAAGCAAATTAAATATTGTTGCTGAGCATTTGCGGACACAGCTTTACGTGTTAGACGTTTTGCTGTCTGAGACACAGTATAAGTAAGAACAGTAGACATGTTATAGTCAAAGCCCGAAACGCAGACATTCCTAGGATTGACTAGTCAATCCTGGGAAATGACCAAGCGTCTTGGTCAAAACCCGAAATAAGTTTTACGTTTCGGCTTTTGACTAGTCAATCCTAGGAATAACTAATACGGCTAGTCAAAGTTAGAAACTAAAGAAAAATCACTTTGGACTTTGACTAGTCAATCCTAGGAATAACTAATACGGCTCGTCAAAGTTAGAAACTGAAGAAAAATCCTTCGGACTTTGACTAGTCAATCCTAGGTGTGGTTTAATTCAAACTGTGTGACTGTTAACAAATAAAATCAAGATTTTTTTTACTAAATT